AACAGAAGGACGGCGCTCTTCAAGGGGATGAAGTTACTTGTTCTCAAATTTTCTATTCCTGTTCCATTGTTTGTTATAGCCTACATGAGGGAATCCCAAACTCATTTGCGCATGACTCCGTGGACCTCGTGGAGTGTTTGCAAAGTAGATCCACTGAGTGGACGCTGCCAACAGACGCGAACACGAACATGCTTCAATGTAACGGCCATTGAGGAGACTGCCTTGCCACCTTCTGGGGCAGCATTTCCAGATTCAACACCAACCTGTCCACAATCGGTGCTTGAAAGTCGATTTTGTGAATCCTCTGAGTGTGCAAGTGAGTTTGTTAGCCTCATCATTGTTGTACACTAATTTTCTCTGGATAGAATTAACAATTTTGAGGTGTCTTCATTACCGACTTGGGGTCATGTCTTGAAAGGCATTGAACTCCTACACTCAACGCCTCTTGCACAAACAAAGGAGTCTCTCCTGCCAACTTTTTTTTGTATCGAATTTGTGTCTATCTTGTACGCCCTCCTCAGGGTTCACTGAGGTCAACGGTGGGGTGAGAGTCTTGAGGGCCTACCACGTTGATCTCCTGAGTAATGCATTCACCAATGGAGGGTGCTCTAGGTCGTAGTAATGGTAATAATTCACCTTCTCCGGAGGGACTCTGCAAGTTCCACTCCCCACAATGTGACGTGGTTTGCCAACTCAAGTTGAAATGAACACCAATTTTAAATGAATGCACAAAGTTTGTCCTCTGCTGACTAGTAAATTGGAATGTTTACCTCATTTGTGTTGAGAAAAAGGAATTAACGATGCTTGGAAAGCAAATTAAGAGGTCACTCCCATCCATTTTAATTGTAAACGCTTAACTTATCCTCAAGACGGTGATTGGTGACCTTAACAATGCATTCACTCACCGACAGTGAGCATTAGGTCATCTTTTGCATGACTTTGTCAACCAGTAGGTGAGGCCTTACAGACCACGAATGAGAAGAAGAACGGACCCTCGTCAACGAACATCCGAGAAATAATGTTCTACGTTGGTCTGGTGGCGGCATTCACTGTGACGGCCCTCATCATCTTCACCGTCTGTCGTCTAAACCGAAGGAAACCCTCATCTTTCAGTAATCCCCTCTGTCCAAGACGTTTCTCCACCCGACAAAATGGTAAACATGCAACGTCTCCACCCTCCCAATTGGGCAAGTGTATTTGTCTAGAAACCTGGTACTGGAAAGGCCATGCACCACCGCAAGAGTTAACGTACATGGACTAAAGTTCAATGCAAATCTTCAAAGGCATTGGGATAAACTCCGATCACACTGAAGCCATCTGCATAGTCACCACTAGTTGGAGCAGTGTGCATGCGTTAGGGGTGTAAACGAAACCACGCATATGCTCATTTGTTGCATTTCCTTATGTGTGTGGGACAATTTGCCTCTTCCGTTAAGGGGGAGATTTAAGAAACAATAATCCCTTAGACATGGTGTTGTTGGAAACTTTTTGATCAACACTGACCTTATGTAGGAAAGTATTTGTAATTTAATGCCTTATATGTAAATAAGTTATTTGAAATAGAAGTGGAAAAAAAATAGATTAAAGCATGTTTTTGCTTACTGGCTCTGGAAAACTTTACTACCCCGTTTTATGGTCTTCACGCTAAAACATTTCCTCTTCTCGTTGCAGTAGCTTCGGTCTCACGCTACTAAAATAATCAAAGTGCATTATAAGTAGCATGATGAAACTTTCTTCATTTTAAAGGCACCCACACCATGTGCTTTAGTCGGTAAAAAGATACACATGAATGAACAAATAATGGGATACCTGAGGATGACTGCTCACTTTGTACTCGTAATCTCTTTCCTGTCAAGAGTACGGCAAATCGATGACAATTCTGAGGAACAGTAGAAGCAGCACCTACGACATGCCACCAATCACCAATGGAGTAGGAAGTCTTCCAAGGCAGCTTAAAGCCGGTGAAGGCACACCAATCGGTCTACCTGATTACCCTGCCAATAATGCCAGTCCGAGGCACCTCGTTCAATCCCAGACGCAGAGACCGGTCTCTGGAACGGAGGCTGGAAACACGTATAATCAACCGTACAGTCCTATCCCCACAATGTTTGCTCCGCTGTCACCGAGTTTTCCAAATGGACGGCCTTTTCAGTCACCAAAGTTCAACTACTTGTGAGTTTGTTTATATTTGACGCAACTCACATAAATTAAATCAAATGGATTTGTTACAAAAAAAGTTTCCATTTCAACAACTCATTTTACGTTTTGTTTCGGAGCCTTTTTGACGTGGTCTTTCATGTGATGCTTTCAATGACCACCCATTTGGATGAGGCAGTGGTGCTGCCCTTTAACTCCATTGCCATCATTCCTCCAGCTAACCCTTCAACGAACCTGCAATTAAAATGGCTTTCATCGCTGTACTACGTAAGCAACGTCTTGGTATGTCTACATAACAACCATTACAAAAAAAAATTGGCAATCGCTAATTTGATCATTCATGAAGCAAATTCACTTGCATCCATTTTTCTCGAATCACCTATCAACAGATTGGTGGATGCCAACTTTTTCCCCACCACTTTTTCTAACTCAAACAAAAAATGAACAGAAGCAGAAAAAGGTGCAAAAAACTGGGGCACAATGGATTCCTAATTTGACGCCGGGAACAGGCGCCGCAACCGCCTCACTTCCAAATCGGCGGGCGTTGAAGCGTAGGGGGACGATGGGGTCGTGGCGAATGGGGAGGGAGGGGGAGTGGGGGTGAGGGGAGTAGAAGGTAACAAAAAACAAGAAACAGTGAAGTAAGATAAACATCTTGGCACCTTCTTCTCCACAAATGGAATCGCATTAACAAGCTCACACCCACTTTATGCAAGAAAAAAGAAAGTACCTGGAAGAATGATTTGTTAAGACGTGTTCAGATTGTGACAGGTTTGTCACCCTTGTGGATGACGCAGCTTCCAATTTTTTTCCATTCCCTATATCAAGTGAGAAGACGTGATGACTATTGTCTGATAACATACATCTCTGAGTAATTCACTGCATAGGCATACAAAGATTTTATGGCTCTTCCTTCGCTTCTGCTTCTGTTGGCTTTTTTTTCCCCCTTCTTCATAGTTTTCATCATCCTATCCATCTCCAGCATTAAGAAAAAAATATTTCCAGTCAGAAGGTCCTTTGTTTGGCTAGTGTTGTTTTTTTTTGTCACACTGGAGCAAAATGGCACTGTGAAACTGTCGTCTGGCTTACTTTCGTGCGCTCATGGATTGCCAGTGTGATTTGATGCAGTCGCATCGAGGAGCACTGAACCGCAATCCAGCGAATGCTGTAATTATCCCTTAAAGGGTACTGACATTCCGAAAGGCGATTGAACAGGCTAATATTTGTGTAAAATTGCATCTATAGGGTAAAGGAGTCGCCTAGCTTTGGTTCAACTGGCAACTCGGTTCCCTACTCTCCCCTCCCCGGTGGAGGAGGATACACAAATCCACCACCGCCGGGTCAACCCATACCTCCGCTACCGCCACCCCACATGGTGCCCTCAAGATCCAGTGCTTCATCTTCGACAGGTGGTGTACAAACTCAATCGCCACAACAACAACAACCGATCTATTTAAGTCCATCGTCAACCCCAAATACAGGCTTGGGAGGGGCTGAAGGCGGTGATGACAGTTCTTCTGCATTCTACCATGAAATTGGAACTGCAGCAGAATCCATCTTCCCCTTGATTCCTCCCCTTCCTGTTGCCGCTGGAGAAACAGGGAGCACTACATGGGCGAACATTGGGTCTGTTGGCGGTGTGGTCAATTTACCGGAGTCTGGTTAGTCCCTGACTCGATACAAGTTCTCACTCATCCAGCTCTTTCTAAGCCTTTGAACAGCTCACACCTCTGTCATTATTTCTAACATCTTTTTAACTGAAATAAAATTAGCGCCATGCAGAGCAAAGGAGGAGCAGATATGGGACCTCAACTCAGTTGAAGCATCAAAATGAAACATCTCAAAGTAGAGCCCTTTAGCCCGATGCAAAATGTAGCTCACAGTTATTTGGAAGGCTTTGACTATCAAATCGACCAATCAGAAGACCGTAAGCGATAGCGACGGCACAGAAGCGTCAAAAAATGACCAAAACCAGAGATGGCGTGGAAGAGGAACATAACCTTCCGAAATGTGAAGATGAAGATGCAGGTACACTCAACATCTAACAGGCATTGACAAGAAGTGGCAGTGGTGATCCATGACACACATAGGCATGCCTCTATCCTGCAGCTCAAAGATCTTTTAAGTTCTTTTATGTCCTAGAAACTATGCACATCGGTTTTCAGACGTTAATATGGGCATAAACAGTTGATGCGATCAGGAAGAACATTTGTTTGGCCCATCAAACAGTCAAAATCCCTTCAATTTATCATCGAGAATTTGTTGTCCTCCAGTTGACATTTTAAAATTTTTTAAAAACACATATCATGTGAAAATCTAAAAAGAACACATTTGTTTAGCTTAAACAAAAAGAATCCTCCAAAGTTGAACTTTCGTGAAGACGCTTCCTCCTTCCAGGTAAGAGGAAAACACGATTTTTCACTGCGCCTTTGTTCCTCAATGCTCTTGATGGTTTATCGGAAACGGAGGAGGCGGAAGAGATTTCTCATCCTCTCTTGGTAATTTTGGCCTTGTATGAGGAGATAAATAATGGAGACGCGTACAGCCTCTCCCGCGCCGAACCCCATTGTTTACCATTAATCAAGGGCGTCTCCTCATAGGTTGGTTGCAGAAACAGCAGACCCTTCACAAGACAATCAAGTAAAGCGACAAAGACAAAAAAGCACTTTTTGTTGACTAAGCCTGAAGGCATTAAAGCTTACCTCCAACCAGACTAACTACCCATCTACTGCTAGGAGAAAGTCTTGGATTTGGTTCAGATATTAGAGTTTAAAAGGAGACAATTTGTTTCCTTCCAGGAGTAAGTCTTCAAATTCCACCGGGTTCAATACCATCTGGCGTCTCCAGAGAGGTCTACCTTGCAACATGTAGGGATGAGAAGTATTGGCCTGCATTGTCTGGTGAGTTTTTTAGTCTACATTCATTTTTCCACCCATCTATGATGCTGTCAACACAAATGAAATTGATGAGGACAAAAGTTGTGATGATCTCATTCGTTAAGTCATTTACCTTTCACATCCATCATCAGGTCTGTCAGGTAAGAAAGTATGAAAATTAGACAGCTTTTGGTTGAAGGGAGAGGGAGGAGAGCAGGGGGAGAATCGTAGTGTCAGGTTTGTGGATTTTGTGGGGAGTAACTCTAAGCACCGCAATGCAAATGGGTTTGACTTGCAAGCAAACGACTGAATAGGACAGGTGGATGGTGATTGATGCTGGGAGATTTGGGCACAGTTACTAGTGGGGTAAGCCTAAATAATGCGCCTTTCTCTCCTCCTCCTTCCCTTGTCCAACCTCCCCTTCTGTTCCACTCTCCGAAGGTATAAATAGGGGGCGCATGACCTATCAAGGCTGTGCGTCACGTACAATGACTCATGCCATAGGGGTATCGTAAGGACAAGCAAATGTCCCATCGTTTGGGTTGATAACATCCCTCGGTTTATTTGAAGGACTGTAGTAAGGTCGGATGTTCATCCATGTTATTCAGCCAAAGCTTGTACGCTATTT